GGCGACCAAAATCAGTTGGCGATCACATTCGTAGGGGTCAGAACAGATTAACCGTATTTACATTTAACCTTATGGGAAATTTGATTCGGTTCGTGACCAATTCGGTTCGCGACCAGAGTCGTGGAACGAATTAAGTTCGTGAACCGAGGTACCACTGTATTATGATTATATTATGACGATGCTGTGAGCTGGTTAGTATCAAAATTGATTGAAGCAGCCAAAAAGCATGGAAAGAAAGAAAGCCAAGATGTTTTGTTGTCTTAGGCAAAGCAACTAATGAAATCACACCCCCTAAGTCCCAGTAATACCGAAAGCTGATTAAGTCTGCATCTGAGGCCCAAGCACTTTCATTACTCTTTCACTCTGCCTAAGGGTGGGACCTCATCCAAAGAATAAATGGGTAAAAAAATGGCATAAATTGTCCCAAAGCCTCAGCAGGAACAATGTGTCACTGCCTGCCCTTCCCCTTTTTTATGCTTCTGCATAACAGACAAGTGTGTGCAATTGTGCCTTTCAATGCTTCATTCACTGAAGAATTATGGGCCAGATAGCCATGGAATCTACTTGTACCATTGAAGCATAGGAAGTCCTTAGAAAGGAGCCTTTCTAGGAAGTTCCTGGGAAAGGAGCCTTCAGAGCAAGGCATTCAGATCTGGTGGGACTTCTGATGGGTGATTTGGTATTTGCCATAGCAAGGCATTGTACCCAGTTGGCAGGTGCTAATATCCCTGCAGTGTATGGTCAAAAAGGTCATGATCGTGGCCACAATGTTGCAATCAAAGCTCCAGTCAAAGCTCCAACCAAATTTCACAGGTGCAGTGTGCATAAAAAACAGGTGAAGTTTCAATAGCACCATTGTGGTCCCGTCTTGACTTCTTTGACTACACTCTGTGAATACCTCTGTCCCTGTGGTAGCCTTCACATGTAGCCACGTAGAGGAGGAGGTCTGAGCGTCTTATCCATTACTTATGGCAACAAACTAATGAATGAGGATCAGTATAACTGTGACATCAGGGGTAGAAATCAGTTAATATCGACTGGTCGTGATGGCCCTATGGAACATCTAGATTTAGTAGCAGTATGCCACTAAACCCCATTTTCTGAAGAACAGAAAACTTATGTTTCCTTCATGCCCCCGTTGTGGGCTTCCTGGAAACACCTCACAGGAAACAGAAGGTTGAACAAGATGGACCTTTGACCTGAACTAGCAGATTTCTTAAAAAAACAGGAAGCATAAAACAGTATGAGATAAAACTTAATTGCCTTGGATTAAAATTGTGAAACCAAATACTTCTCCTTCGGCCTTTGGATTTGAATAGCTAGTATCTCACTTAAAATGTGGTGCAGACATTTTTGCACATCCTCAGTTAATCATGTTTCAAAGTTTCACTTATTGGCTTGTCCTAGAAGTACACTGAAATCCAATTAACCATTAATGACCTATATTTTGTAACGATTGCCAGCTAAATGTATTTTTACCTTATGCTTTCCTGCCCTCTTGTGGCAAAAAATATTTTAAAACCTTTAAATCTTAAAAGAATGATCATAAAATATTCAGTATTGCATTTCATTTTATAAAAGTACAACACAAGACTGTAAGCATATAGTGGTTACATAGAAGGATAAAGTACCCTTATAAAGAATGATTGTTTATTATTAAGCATTACTTTAAGCATTAATGCTATAGCCCAATAAATATTCAGCTGTCATTGAACAGATCCATATTTCTTTCCTTATAATTTTGCTTCATTTGTAAAGATACTGCATAGGACTATATGTTATGTGTGTTGTAAAGGAAAATGCAGCCCTAATAATTAAATATTTATGCATTTGCCAGACCTCTGTTATTGCATTCAGAGTAAGAGTATAAATCTAAAACTAGTAAGATGTAAACATAAAGAGATACAATTTTAAAAAGCCATTTATTTATTTATTTATTTATTTATTTATTATTTATTTATTTATTAATTAAATTTCTATGCCGCCCATCTCCCCCCAATGGGTGACTCTGGGCAGCTCACAGTTAAAATCAAAAACCCCATCAACAATTAAAAATACCCCATAAATAATGAAATAAATTAACCCATTAAAAATCATGTATAAAAAACAAACCCTGTACATTTGGGCATCAGGATCTACCTGCTCAGTGCAGGGAGCCAAATTAACAATTCCAGAGGTGTCAACAGGGAGGGATGGTCAAAAAAGTCAAAATGGTGGCCACAACCATGTGACTGAAGTCCCATTCTTTATGTGCACATCTAAAAAACATTGGGGCTTAGATCAGCAAGATTTGGTCTTTACTTCTGGTAATTCCTCATTTTCAAGGTGCATACAGTTTGATCTGTTTACAGCTGGCTCTAGAATCTTCTATTTTTTTTACCTGTTACCATCTTGGCTTCCTCACTCAACAGCTAATATTTGGCTGGTTGGTTTGTTACGGTACTCATAACCCATCCCAATCCCCAAAGACCCTAAGCAGCATACGACGTCAACAAAAGGAAAACCAAAACATAATAAGTAAATCAACATCTCATTAATTTATGTATTTGAATTTTTTGGCCCCCCAACTCCAGGGGATTCTGGGCCACTTATAAAACTGGAGAAAATGTAAAAACAGCGAAAACGAAAAATAATCACAAAAAAACAAGATAACAAGATAGGCATTCATAGTCAGTTGGGACCCAAAGTGCATTGAAATAACACAGTTTTAACCACAATTGGAAAAATAATCACAAAAAAACAAGATAACAAGATAGGCATTCATAGTCAGTGGGGACCCAAAATGCATTGAAATAACACAGTTTTAACCACAATTGCAACAAGTGGGGGGGGGGGCTGTGTGTACATCTGAGGAGAGAGTATTCCATAAGGTGGAGGCTATTACAAAGAACATACAGATTTTTTTTTCTTTTCCTTTTATTTTGAACATATGGAACCTATCTAGCCCTTTCTGTTATTCTTCGTCTACTTCACTCACCTTAGCCCATTGTCACCCTTCCCTTTCCTGACACCACCCCTACAGTGCTGGATTACCTGTCTATACTCTTTGTGGTCCGGCTCTCTATCTGTATCCTAAATTATTAAATATATATATATATACAAAACAGTTTCCCCAGACTGGCAGGTTCCAAGGTGAGTTGGACTACAATCTCTTGCATCCCCCAGCTTGTACATATATTTTGCTGTATTAACTGGGCCTGACTGGAATTCATGTCATAAAAGCTGGCATAAACTATAGCTAGTATTAGGAAAATTAGTTGTGAAATTAAAACATGTCATAAATCTAAACTAGTGTAATGGTGCTAAAAGATGCTATGGAATACATGCCTATTAAAAGCGGCTTCTTCAATTTCCAATGGCAAAAAATTACGAGTTCCTATAACTAAATTTCAGGGTGGAGAATATTCTGCTGCACCTCCACAAAAAAGATCAGGTCTCCTGTGCTCAGTCGTCATATATCTGGAGATGTTGTGGACAGCAAGTCCAGCCACTATTGTTATGATACCTACATTAAAACAATGTAACTGTTACTCACAGCCTGTGTGACATCAGTGGGATAATTCTCATTCTGTATTCATGCTGGTTGCAAAGTAATTATAAATTAACTTATTTGCAATTCATATTAGGGCAATACCTTGATTAGGCAAATTATAGGTCATAAATAACAAACAATCTTTCAACATCTCCATAACGTCTAATCAAGTAAGATGATAAAGAAAAAGATGATAGGATGTGTAGAGTGAGTGACACTCAAATAATAGAGCCTGCATAAATAAAAATTGTGGGTTTTTTAAATTAGTATTGTTGGTCGCACAGTCAGCCAGATGTTTAGACTGGATTTGGCATTTTTATCCACCTATTTGAGTCCTTCCCAAGCACTTGGAATAGGCAGATGTTGTTGTTTGATGGCCTTAAACATATTGCCGCAGGATGTAAGCTGTTCCAAGTAAAGCTGTCTTTTGCAATTGACTGATGGTGATTTTGT